CTTTTCTTAATTTGATTTATTGTCTGCTAACTAAAATCTACATGGCCTCAATCTAGTTAAGGTAATTAGATGAATAATCTTATCAGGCCGTTGACATCTTACTTCGTCCACCGTAATACATACATCAAATAAATTATTCCAACATACGTATCTTGGATTGCGTTACAGCGTAACGTTTTCCCTAATCGTTCATAACATAACATTGCGTATTGATTGGATTTACTTGAGCAACTTTTGTCATATTATCTTGTTCTTGTTGTATATACTTTTATATTTGCTATGATTCTTTCGTTATTTGCTTGGAAGATAGAACAAATATGTTAATAGCATTATCTGGTATAATTTGTACTATTTTCCTGATTCCCGTAATTTTCGAGCAATGATATTTCTATTCATGTGGTTCTTAGAACTTCATTACAACTTTTGTTGTAAAAGTATATTTACTTGGAATTAATATTGTCTTCATTAGCAAAGAAGCTTTTATACAAATTACACATTAAAGTAATTCAATAAGTCTTTGTGACAAAAAGATTGCTTTCAAACAAGGTAAATCGCTGGGGAATACCATTTGTGTGTATTTGCCACGCGTTCGTTCCGTAGAACTTAGAAAATGACTGATAGCAGAAACGAAATACTACGAAATTGTGTTATTTGACTACAATCTTTTGTAAAATGGACGATAACTTCCCAGGAGAGTGGGCTTCTCCCTCTTTTTCCCTGAAGCAGGATTTTGAGTACTTATATATTTATATATTTTGACGTGACAACGTCTTAAATTAGGTTGCGGCTGGGAGTCACTTATGAAAAAGTGTAACGCTCGGTAACGTTACGATGAGTCTCTCGTGTTAAGTTTAAGTTTACATGTACAATGTTTTAGTAAACAAAATATATTTCTATAGTTAAAATTTGTGCAATTCTTATTTTCATTCAATTCCTTGTTCCTATTGTGCAATTTAATTATATTCATATCAATAAATATTCTACCGAGAAAAAGACGTTGTCACGTAAAATCTTCGCCCGTAAAACCGACTTTACAGGCAACCATTTTTTTTTTCTATTTTTGTAACATAGTATCCATGTGTGGTTATGATTAGTCATGCTCTCTTAAAAATCTCTTCGATGGTGTCGTGTGAGGCGGGTCATTGTGTTCCCTAAAAAATGGTTGAGCGAAGCGATGGCTGGTTCCTGCGTCATGCTCGTGAATAGGTGCTGCCAGCGGAGATAAGCCTGCTCTTGCTTCATTGGGTACTATGAATCGTTGTACTAAACTTTAATCGTTCATTTTTTTTGCCTAAACAGGACACGGCTTTCTAAACTTTGTTAAACCAGTTTATTATATTTTTTTATTTTATAGTCATATTTTTTATATTATTTGCATTTGTAATGGTAAGTGACTTTATGAGTTACCTCATATTGAAGTCATTTTTCAATTTGACGACTCTGTATATAATACAGGGAGTAAAAAACAGCCCTTGCCGAGTTTCTTACCGGTTCTTCTCAGTACAAGGTCTCTCGCCGTAGATTTGCGAACCGATGGCGTAGCTTTTCGACATTCACGAGTGCTTGTAACAGCCTAGACTGAACAAACGATATTGAATTTTGAATTGAGTACATTTCCAGTTTCAATAATTAATCTCCAATAAAAGGTTATTCTATTATAGTTTCGTTTCTTGGCAACAGTTGTTTATTTAATTTAAATAATATAAATATCTAGACAACTTAGCCGTAATACACCTTCTTGTTACTGGTGATACATTATTGAAACTAGCCCTAGCCAGAGTCCTGGGAAGTAACCTTCACCTTATTGAAGATCATAATAGTATAGTAATAGTAAAATGACACTCCTTTTGGATTGTGCTTTAGTTCTGTCGTTGAGTAAGATTTCGAGAGCTCCACGAGATGCGGGATGGGTCAGGGTCATACTAAAGTAAGTATCGGAAGCGTCCATTATCTATCATCACTTAGTTTTTATTTTCAATAGATTATGAAAAAACTGAGGAATTGGTTGCCACGGCCCTATAAATATAGATGCTTATGATTATATATACACATACGCACCATACGCACTCACGCACACACACACCCACACACCCACACACACACTTCTTATATTAATGTACTGTCATATTGATTAACTTAAGAAAATATGGTACTCATTTATTTGTATGGCTACATTGCAAATAAAATTAGCGAAGGGCGCTGAAGCCAAAATACAGCATGAATTTCCTAGTTTGGCTGAGGATGTCTATGACTATGTACTTTGTGTGAAATAATGGCCTTAGTTTTAACATATTTATAAGAATACTACTATGTATTTTTTTTACATATAAATATCATTATTATTATTATCATCATCATCAGCCTATTAATCTCTCCACTGCTGAGGCACAGGCCTCCCCTGTGGATGGACTAGGGAGATTGAGTCATGACCCACCACGCGGGCCTAGTGCAGATTGGTAGGAACTAACGATTGCAGATGCAGCCCGGACCAACGGCTTAAAGTGCCTTTCGGAGCACGGAGGAACCCGAGATAGTTAAATTTTGGTCACCCATCCAATGACCGACCGCTGAGAAAGTTGCTTCACTTCAACAAACGCAGCCGAACTCGCTAACCACTTGCGCCATCGAGCTCCTCTTTTACTGATTCTCCAAACCTAATATTAAATTTAACAACAGTGTATCCTTGTCATTCTCTATAAAGAATGAAAAGTAGAGACTGATGTTAAATTAATTTTTAAGCTTCTAGAATCATAGAAGCTTGGATAATATTGGAGACTAAACCAGTTAAATATTGTAAAGACAGTTTTCTAATTTTAGTTTTTTAATAGACCACTTTTTTTTATCGAAATCACTTATTTGGTAAATATATCCAGTGGGATTTATTTTGATTCTCTACGATTTATATATTTTAGGTTCGTCGTAGGGGCCGTGGTGACTCAATTACGAGGCTCAACACGTCCTGACACGGGTTACCTGTGCCTTTTTTATCAACAAACTACAGAGTAATCTAGACCTCTTTGAAATGGTCGAACGAATTATTTCGACGCGGCCGTCAAGGGCCGCGGTAGCATAATTTGGTCAGTGCATTCGCCCGGATTGCGAAGGGTGCGAGTTCGAGTCCCGTCTGCTGCCTGGTCCGCGTGGATTTTTTTCTAGTTATGTTTTCTTTAGATTTAAACATCAAGCACATGTATAAAAAATATAAATTATAACTAAAATACTGTGCCGTCGAGCCCGTCTGCTGCCTGGTCCAAGTGGAATTTTTTCTAGTTATATTTTCACAATATTTTATTTTAGTTCTCCAAAGGTTATGGGTGTATTTTTTTTTGTCTGAAGAGCACAATTATTTGATCCCAAATCATGGTTTTTTATGTATAAATGTTATTGGGTTGTCAGAGTAAAAGCTCTGTTTACTTGTAAATTGAAATAATTGTCGTGCGCTATCCGGAATTCTTTAGTATTATATTCGCCAAAGTCCTTCCAGAACTTTTTAACAAATAAGTGGTCCATTTGCACGGCAATTTTGAAAACACCGTTATCATAATGTACTATATTCCCGAATTGTTATAACTTGGCCAATTTAATCTTCAGTTTTAAGTGTTCATTGTCTACAATGTTGCGGACAGGAACAAAAAGAGAAGTACCATTATAAATTATTGTTTCATCTGAAGTCGCGGAAGAAGAATTCTAAACTCATTAAGTATCCGCCAAAGAAATAAGGAAAGTAATTAAAACGCTCATTATTATTAATCAAACTTGGAAATTCGTAGCAAATCGGCAGCTTCGAATAAACGGAGGGATGAAATATTTCTTAAATGATGTCATTTAAAAAGGGCCCCAGGGCACGTGCCTCGGTAAGAATGCGCCAAAGAAATATATAGCCACGAAAAAGAAATTTGAAGGGACATTTAACTATAAGCCCATTTTTCTTGGCGAGTATGACATTCCTTTAATATCGGCTAATGACCGATTTAATACAAATAATACTGCTCATATAAAAGAATTAATACCAAACGAAAACATTGCTAAAGTAAATACATTTATAGTTGAAACACAATGAATAAGATAGATTAAAGCAATGGCTAGCTAGGTCACGATTACGCAATTGGTCATTTAATTTTCACAAAAAGATTTTTAAAATAACACGAAACAATAAATAAACATATTCGATCACATCAGCGGTCGTATAATCATAATCATAAACTGAAATTACATGAACTCATTGCCTAAAAATGTAAAATCAATAATAAATAAATATTTACAATTACACAGTTAATAATTATTTAAAAACGTCAGTTCTACATAAAAAAAAACTTTGTCCTGATTTAAGATTTATTTAGATTTAACCTTAACCGCGAAAAAGCTCAAACTATCTGGCCGTGACAGGGTGATAAGTTTAAGCTTTGAATGGGTGCCGTAAATTCAACAGTGCAATAAAAATTATACATCTGTAGGACTTATAATTGGGACAAATCCTGTAATCGAGACCATTCGCATTTTCTGTAAGTACACCTGATAACGTTGATACCTAACATCCTTGAACAAAAAGACTAGGTAGTATATTTATGTTTGCATATTATATAGGCTTTCCATTTGAAATACCTATGTTTACTATTTTTGTTAAACTGTACTGGTATTGTATCAATAAAAAGTTGCCGAACCTCATACCATGTAACAAGATCATTTTAGATGAAAGATATTATTGAATTACAGCTATTCCGACATCACTCATCAATCAAATCAATAATTAATGATGAAATATGTATTCGTAAATACGGATTTAAACCATATTTAAACTAATTTCGTATGATATTTTCTTTTTAAACTCGTGTTGAACACCTGAATAACTTTTTATAAGGAGTACGCTGACAATTTATTTACTTATAGTTAATATTAATGCACACAATACCAGGAAAAAATAATTCGAATTAAAGCCATCGTCCGTAAAAATAAGTAATATAAATAACGCTAAGCAAATACAGAACATACAAATTACTCACCAATGAACAGCAGGATAACGCAAACAATAACGATCTGTATCATAGCAGTCATTTTGTGCACTATTATATTTGTCTTCTCACTTGGACAATTCTAAAGTTTGTATCACTGTATCACTTTATTCATTATTTAGCACAGAATTTATACCATCACCGAGCATTTATCAAAAGTTTTCTAATGAAATTCACGCTTAACAGCGCTTATTATTATCATGTCAACTGTTCACATATTTAAACAAGCTTTGCAAAGTCACTTTCTTTTTTAATAATATAATTTACGCATTGATCATAATAACATTCATAATTCATATGAATCGAGTCTTGTCATCTCATTTCTAAATGTTGCCAGAGCTTTTAAGCTCAGGCTGATTGCTTCAGAAAGAGGATATTACGTGGACGAATTTCTTTTTTATATTTCTCCTTTGAATGCATAATAGTTCTTGAGGTTTTATTTTCATTAAATCCCTGTTTTAGCTGAACACTATAGCTTAAGTTTATTATATCTTATTATCATTGTGATTAAATTAGTTTAAATAACGAATTACTTTAATTTATTTGCTACCCTTTCCTTATTTGCTGTAGTAATGTATTTATGATTGTATATTTGACTTCATCGTAGCTTTTTGGTTGTGGAAATTTGCGAAACGATTCACCACGAATTCTACTTTATTTCACTCAATTAATTTGTATCCGTCTGTACTAATCCGTAAGATACTACACTGGAACCTGGACGTTGCTGCGGCTTTCGATCCCCGAATCTGTAACAAAGTGTTGTAATTAAATCAAGTGCAGGTATTTGAATGGCATTTCTATTGGACGCTTGGTGTAATAATTCTAGATCAATTCTGATTTCACGATCTTGTTACATTGAAACATACACACAAGAAAAAAAATGTAAACAAAGCAAAATAAAAAATCAAGATTTAAATTTTAGAAAAACTCATGCGAGAAAACATTATTTGAAAAAAAAAAAAACCTTATTGTATGTAAAATATTTTGTGATAAATCTAGCAGTTTATTGCTCATAACAACAATATAATAAAATCAATGATGAATTTATGTTCTAAATATTTAAGAAAGTCAATTGTTTTTCAGACTGCCTGTAAATTTTTAACATCTGAGCTGCTTAATAGATTTAGATAGATCTTTGCAAGCATTTAAGAACTCCTCATTCTACGCTTAGGCACACATAACCCGCTATTTAAATACTAGTTTACTTTTTAATAGTTTTATAAAAGTACAAATTTCTCGAGCTTATTATGTTATCCGAGCATTGTTACAAATACTGTTGAAATCTAGTGAATATATTATAAATATTTAAACACATCTAATGGCTTAAAAAATATTATAATTACATAATTTCTTTTGAAACATTTAATTTAGCTGTTTTCTATTCCATAAATCAATTAGGAATTTATTATAATAGGAAGATAACAATACAGAAAAAGAAGAAAAAAACCTCCAACAAATTTCTAAGCATCAGATTTGAATGGCAATTCTGGCTATTAGAACACTTGGCCCTTTAAGAGATAATAATTCTTGAGAATTTCCTCTCCGTAACTGTAATAAGCCTATTTATTTCCATCGCCTGGTGTAACCTGGTTATTTGATATTTTTAGGAAGTCGACTGAAATTGTTCGGAACGAAAATTCATTTTGCTTCCCGTCTTTTGCTAGATTTTGTTGTGTTTTTAAATTATTACCGAAATTGGCGTTTGTTGTTTCGATGTAGATGAAAAAAAATCTGGCTGTCATCATTTCAAATATTTTATTACAGGCAGTCACGCTAATATAACGTTCAGTAATTTATTTAGTAAATTAACGATCAAGAAACTCAAGTTTTTATTATTGTATCATGTATGTAATTGATAAAATAAATGAATGAATCGATTAGGTATATAATAAAATTTCAATCAGAATCATAGCACATTTTAAATTAGTCTACATGTAACCTTGGCAATTTATTTTCTACAAAGTGTACGCTCAAACAATCACTCATCAAAAGATAACATTTAATGGAGTATGCGTGACATTTTCTTTTCTGAAATTAACATACATTTAACGGCACTGAATCACCTTGTGATTCCCAGCCTAAATATATTATACCTACGTGTAGAACTCAACAAAAACATGGCAAGCTTTCAATCTACTTTTAAAACATTGCTCGTCCCGAACTTCCGTGCTGTCAAGAACAGCCATATTTTTAAATTTCTGCTCTTTTTTTGCTGAAGTTAATCAACCTGGGGCGATGTAACACGGCAAATTTTGAAATTACGAATTTTGATCTTTTAATTAACTCAAACTTCATGTATGGTATTAATTTTATCCTTTAGCTGATTTGATCACAAACACGAACCAATTACAAAATTGTTGACTCAATCCAAAGTGTTGCTAAATCAGATTTATTCTAAATCTATTGTAACGTAGAGAACGAAATTGAATCTTATAGATCTCAGAGTCTTTTCAGACACAAACTGACTATCGGGTGATAATGAAACGAATCAAAGACGTAGCTCGCTTTCGGATAAATGGATTAGAAAAGGAGATTTTGAAGTTGGCAGACGTAGAATTTGATAGAATTTACTTATGTATACATCTATTTTAACGCAAAGGGAATCCCCAATGGATTCCCAAATAGGTAATTTAGAATTAGTTTAATGTGTTCGGTCGGCCTCAGATATTTCAGATGTCGTTATGTCACAACGACTATTTCACTCATACATCATTGGTATATAATTTTAACAGAAATGATGACGAATGTGATAATTTATTTCGTATGTACGTATTTGTTAATATTGCTACATACTTGACGTATGTGGCAATGTTAACAATGTAAAGGCATTGTTCAAATATGAAGTTATTAAGTATTTACCGTCACAAGTTTTATATATTATTATACCATACTTGCTGTTTCAGCGAACTTCGTACTGCCATAAAAAAATGGGGTTGGTGGTAGAAGGTGAAAATTAAAGATTGTATGTATTTTTGTATAAAAATAATATTTTGTAAAATAATTAAAACGATTTTTTTTGGAAAAATAAAAAAAATTAAGGGTGGACCGGACCATCCTTAACATTTATGGGGATGAAAAGTAGACGTTGACCGATTCTCAGACCTACTGAATATGCATATAAAATTTCCCGAAAATAGGTCGAGCCGTTTCGGCGTAGTTCAATTACGCACACGAGAATTTTATATATTAGATTATAGCATTGTTCAAAGAAGATTTTGAATCTTTCCTTTTCCTAACTGTTACCTAGTATCGATAATACTTATTTTATAAATATGTGGCTTGTGTTAAAAACACTTTAGCAAACATTTACAATCTTACACCGTCTTCATTCGTATTTTTGATCTGTTCTTTCCACCGGTATAATAGTCGATCGAGTAGTACACATTAGTGGGTTTTTAAAGTTCTTTCGATTTTGTTCAGGGTTTGTACCAAATGAAAATCCTTGTATTTTCTCCAGGCAAATACGTTAATATGATTTCATATCACGTTCTTGTCTGCGGTTCGTGATATTTCCCGTGATGATATTCTGATAGACATAGATTTCCGTTTGTGTGGAGCCAATGAAATTTTCGTTTAAGCTGATTCGGTTTAATAAGGTGTAGGCATTATCGGTTTGCTTTTTAGAGAACACCTGCCTCCGAGTTTAAATGTGAAAACACTATGATTTAGATACAGGCCAAGCTAAGCAACTCGTGGGCTGTGTAACCTATACCAATAGTCTCTTAAGCTCCGCAGGCACACATTTTTTAAAGAATACAGTTTATTTGACAGCAGTCTTGTTTAAAGTGGCGGACTTTACTCTAAATTCCTATTCAATTGTAAAATCCGCTGCACCTACCTATGTTAAAATCTGTGTTGTGTTGGAAAACATCAGTTTGCAGTTGCTGTGGTTGAGCCATTAGTTTTACATCAAGCGCAACTTTAGAGCTTTAGTACTTAGCAATACTGTTCGCTTTAAATAATATTATTTAATCTCTGTGTAATGGGAAACTCGAGCTGGCTGAGGTTTAGTACCCGAAAACACGAGACTTTGAAACAAGACAAGATAATGCTTTGTGTTTTGTAACATTGTATTTGGTGTCCTAAGATAATTTGATTTGCCAACACTGTCCTTCGTAGCTGAGTGGTGAGTACGTTGTATTGTCAGTATATTAGTATCATCAATTTTAAGTTGTTCGTATTTGGTTCCCGGTTCAAGTACCTTAAGAATTCAAGTACCTTAAATCTTTATTTCTATTGTTGTGTTTCTTTCTCTCATTTATAGAATCCTAATGTTTCCGACTAGATTGTGTGAGTATGATAATTAAATATTGATGAAGCATATTGGTTAAAACACTTTCTGAAATACAAAAGTGTTAATTGCATGTAATGAAATATATACGTTGATAAATTTATATGGGCATTACAAAATAGTATTTATAAATATGATGTAATAATAATACCCAAGAAAAGGCACTCAAAATAAACGCTTTGCGTCTTAAAACATCTTGTTATTAAATATTACATATAGTCCATAAAATTGCTCAAAAAATTTTAACCGTACATCAAAAAACAAGACTAATAACCCCTCGTCTGTGTAAGTGGTTGATTTCTGCCACGAGTTGAGAAAATGATTTTCATATTTTATCATATTTAGTAATGGTTTTTAATTCACACGTCTAATATATAGAAATAAATTATTTAAGACATAAAGATGTACAGTAGAACTCGAATAATAAAAGGATAAGATTTTCCACCAACCATAAAACACAAACTCTGGCTGAGCAAATAACTTACGTCGTAGGTAAGACCGTCAAATTTCCTAGTTGCGAACAAATGTTCCTCGTGTTTCAAAACAATGCGAAAGTTGTAAAAATACAGTGCTGTCTACCGAACCGAGCAATATAAAATGACAAAGTAAACACAATGCCGTATAAGTTGTGCAGCAAAATGAGCGACAACGTTGTAACGAAATTTGGTTCGACGTGAAAACTCAAATATTCTGAGTTCACTTAAGCTAAATTTTGTAAAAGGTAACTTCTCGAAATGCAAATAGTTACAAGAAGAAGCAAGTATACTAATGATAAATAGATACACAATTGCCAGTTTACTCCGATTAGGTCATGTTAGTTCAGGACTCCTACTCAACTAGGTGACTTTACTATAGACTTTGGAAGACCTTCAAATAATAATACCTTCAAATAAACAAATGGAAAATGTAAGCAAATACTTTGAATTCCTTTACACTTTAAGTAAACCACTGACGTAGTTATCTAGAACGAAGTGAATTGTGTTAGCTTACCATACTTTGTCGTCTGCAAAGATTCTAGCTCATGTTACTATCGAAAATATTACATTTCTAGAATCAGCATCTTTGAAGCTCTTGATATTTCCGGTGACATTCTACGCTGTGTAGTAAGATAGGTTTAGTTATATATCATCATCATCATCAGCCTATTCATGTCCCCACTGCTGGGGCACAGGCCTTCCCTATGAATGGAATAGGGAGATTGGGCCATGACCCAGTGCGGATTGGTGGGTGCTAACGACTGCAGATGCTGACCAACGGCTTAACGTGCCTTCCGAAGCAGGAGGAGCTCGAGATAGTAAATTTTTGGTCACGCATCCAATGACCGACCACTGCGAAAGTTGCTTTACTTCAACAATCGCAGCCGAACGCGCTAACCACTTGCGCCAACGAGCTCCTCGTAGTTATATATATTTCTCATAAAATTATCCCTTTATGTAAATTCTTTATGTTTTAGTT